TAATTAATTGTCCATATTTGCCCAACAAACCACTTTCTCTCTTTCTATATATCATCAACACTCTCTCTTCAATTTTCATTTTCAATTCCAATTTCAGTTTCTGGAGAGAGACAGAGAGAGAAGATGCAACGTGGAGGAGGTTTCCACAGGATCCCAATTCACCCTACATCTGGTACTTTACTCCTCCTCCATACATACATATATACATATACATACATATATACATATACATATATATATATATATATATAATGTTTCTTTCACTCCATTGGAGTTCCTTTTTCTGCAATTGCATTGGCCTCTTTGTGTTGCTTCTTTATCCACTTTCAAGAAATCTTTGAATGGGGTTTTCAATATTACCTTTTCTGCATGCATTCTGTTATCTTCTTCAATATATATATATAATAAACCAGTCCATGCATCGATCTTGAAACAGATTATATATATATATATATATATATATATATATGCAGGTGAAGGAATTGACTAATATATCATATTGATTGATATATAATTTTCTGTGTATATATGAGTATCATCAATGGAGGTTTGGTCTTGAAGCAGTGTGTATGAATTTGGACAAATATTGTAGAACAAGTGGCATGCATGCAAGAATATCACTAAACCATCTTGACCCCACGAATCTGTCACTTTTGCACACTTCACCTCCTTCCACTTTTACAGTCTTCTGTTTTTGTTTTTTCCAATTACTTTTAAGTGCATATATATATATATATATACATGTATTAATAATAAAATAAAATCATGGTAAAATACGACTTTCAAGTTTTCTTATACATGGGTATATATGAAAATGATTAAGATCGATCATTGCAAAATAAAGAATGAAACTTGTATATATACTACTACATTGTTCTCAGATTTCTTTTTTGTGAATTCATGGCGGATCTTCAAGTTAATCAACCAGAAATGATGAAAGCTATAATCTTCATGTCTTTGTTTTTCTTCTTTCTCATTCATATAAGTTGTAACTGGTTCCTGCCTAATCGGGTTACATACCTTCTCCGCCCAGGGATGCAGCAGCAAACGGACATGAAACTGAAGCTACCAGAAATGACGAACACCAACAACCCATCTACAGATGACAATGAGTGCACTGTTCGAGAACAAGACCGTTTCATGCCAATAGCAAATGTGATCCGAATCATGCGAAAGATCCTCCCTCCACATGCCAAGATCTCTGATGACGCCAAAGAAACCATCCAAGAATGTGTTTCTGAGTACATTAGTTTTGTGACGGGCGAAGCCAATGATCGCTGCCAGCGTGAGCAGAGGAAGACCATCACCGCTGAAGATGTCCTGTGGGCTATGAGCAAACTGGGATTTGATGATTATATCGAGCCTTTGACTGTCTATCTCCATCGCTACAGGGAATTTGATGGCGGTGAACGTGGATCCATAAGGGGTGAGCCACTTGTCAAGAGGGCTGCTGATCCTGGCCCATATGCTTTTGTGCCTGCTGCTTTTCATCATCATAATGGCTTCTTTGGTCCTGCTAGCATTGGTGGTTTCTTCAAGGATCCATCAGTTGCTGGCCCTTCTGGACCTACTGCTGTTGCTGGTTTTGAGCCATATGCTCATTGTAAAGAGTAACTGAGATGGTAACAATGAGACGTTGACGTTCTGTTTGCTACTCGTTTAGTTTTCTTTCTTTTATCGGTCATTTATCTTTTTTCCTGCTTAACATTTATGGCCTGTGTTGCACCGTACGATGGAACAGACTGAAACAACAAGGGAACAAGATACAGATCATTAACCATGTTGTTCGTACGCATAAATAAATGTTTGAATAAACTGAAATCTATAATTAACAAAAATACATGTTTCACATCATGTAAAACTGGGTATCAACTTTCTAAACAATTACAACAGTAAAAAGGCCATACCAGATGTATTGCAGATAACAACAGATCAAGGATCGATGTTTTGATACTACTATTTCAGGTGTCATATTCCATATTTATGGTAAATATAAAAAGATTTCTTAAGCTCAACTCAAAATCAACATATGAATCCAACTGGAATTGAGAAATGTTTTGCATCAGCAGTACTGTAGGATATAAGTTACAATGGAAGGTCACACCTACAGGCTATCTGTGTTTTCAATGCATTGCCTTTTAATCTCTTGATCAAAATTCTCATCCACTTGAGCTTCTTCTTGAGATCCTTGTGCTTCAGATTCACCTCTTTTCCTTTGTGGAATCACATGGAAGAATGAAGCCTTCCAGTCTTTAGTTTCCAAGAACTTGACAAGTATTTCTATAACTTGATTCACTGTAAGGACCTACATTTTGAGACAAACAGCTTCTTGAGCAGTTCAATTTGTCATTTTAAAGGTAATACATATAGACTTGTTAAAAAAGCAATATAACAAGACAAGATCCAAATCATCACTCATCCCTAATGGGAAAAGAAAAAGAAAAAAAGAACAAGTACTGTGATGACTTGTACCTGAGAACCAGACATCTTGAGGTAGTTCCCAATTGGAAGTTTTGCTGTTTCAATTCCTTGCTCTACAGCTTTCTTCATGGTTATCCCTTTCCATCTATTTCTATCCACGAGCCCACCAACGATATAAATTTTCTTTGGATCAAGTTCGGAGAGCATAGTTTCTGAGTCTGCTGTCAGGTATACCAAATGCTCCTTTTCACTTTCAAATGTATTGATATAAGGACCATTATSCTTCTCGATTATCCATTTRTCAAACCCWGGRATCTTTTGRAACTGGCTWTCAATTTCTCCCTCRTAGCCAGTCAACCAGAGATGACAAGGGACCRTACTTCTTCCATTCACCGCATAACAATACATWATCTGCATTCACAAGTCAMCAGCAAACTTTTCATTCAAGACAGTTGCTACCAAAACCACAACCAATAGCAGAGCCAAATTAGAAATTCAGTGAGCATGGAAACTCATCATTGACACGAAGCGTCTTTACAATTCAAACAAAGATCTGTATGTCAATTATATAAGATTGAATTCGTACTTCAAACATGCTGTTTCAGAAAGAAAAAAAAACATGGACTTTCTAGCATGTGATTCTTAATAATTAACAAAATTGCAATGTCAGCAAGACAATTCCTCGTTCCCAACTCCCAAACTTAACAACGGCTCCTTCAACATTTATGGTTACATGCATGACAGTGAAATATACATCAAAGTGTAAGAACATGAAGTTTAGTTTCATTTCATAATAAATTAGAAAAGCCATTACCACCAGAAGCTTGGCGATGTAAAGAGAAAACTTCGTCTTTAACTCGCCAGTTTTAATCACGGCTCCAAAAATGCTCTCGGGAACATGTTACCTTTATTTAATAGACTAAAAATTGTTCATGAATATCTAAAAAGTTGTAAAATTATGTTGGGACACCCATCCATTTATTGACATCCCAAAGCTTTTGGCTCTCTATGTTTAGCTACCACAAATTCTGTTGGAATAACTATGTTCTTCTTAGGTATCCATCCACATTGACAAAAAGGCTATTTGCTCCTCGGTATTCAAACAAAGAGAGAGATTTGTCTCTTGGCATATGTTGTTTTTCATGAAAACATGTTCCTATATTCCTTACGACCTACCTTTTCTCATTGTCGTTCATCTCCTCATGCCCAAAGTAAACGCCCTCTAGTAACTTCTCCATCTTCAATTTCTCCTTCCTCTACTTCCATTTCACTTACTAGCATCTCTTGTACTCCTCCCGATTACTCCCCTCCCCAGGTAATTCTGTCTCTCCATGTTCTTACTTACCGTCTTCTTTGTTAGCACCATGGCCGGATCTACTAAGGCATGAGTGATACCACTGAATTTGTCTGTCATGGTGTAAATATTTTTTATGACCCTTAACAATGCTACCATTGTGATTTGTCTCGCTACCACGGGCATCCTCGCCGGAAAATTAAGAAGCTACATTAGCAAATTTGTTAACTATAATTAATTTGACTTTATAATTAAGTTTTATTTTACTTTATATTATAGTAATTACTTTGTCCCACTACTAAAAGAATTATGGATRCGCCTTAGCAACCCTTCACAAGAAGCAARGGGAACTAAATTTTTTCATAAATTCCTTCCAAGCCCAAAAATTCCTGTAGTTTCTAATCATCTTATCATTTGCTCCCAAGTGCATCTCTGTACAAAAATTCTTTCTCGAGTACTACTCAAAGTTATTTTCTTAAAGCTATTATATAGGGTAACAAAAAGTACACACAAGTTGCCAAGGATACATGGATCAAAGATGAGACTAGTATTCCTGAGCACAATAAAACTTCAACATTTGTCCCTCTAACACCCATTAAAAAGAAGTATAATGTGCAAACGGGTTAAGAAAATCAACTAAGTGGCTGATGATCCAAATTATTGCAATATGATACCGACAAGAGATTCTTGTTCCAAATTATTACCTCACACATGTGATCAACTGAATGACTATCATGACAGTTCTATCTCCATTGCAACTGATTGCAACTCTAAGAATTTGGTGTTCACCGATGCTTTTTTGCATGGAGCTCTTCTTGAGAAGGTATATAAACCAAAACCAAACTAGCCCATTATACCCCACTCAGAGATGGAGTCTGGGGGTGAGATGTAAGCAGCCAAGACCTCTACTATAGAGAATAGAGCAGTTGTTTCTGTGAACACTCCCGAATTTCAAAGAAGTGAGTGAGACAAAAAATATTGGCATGAGAAATTTAGCTTTAAGCAAGCATCTAGACAATAACTGGTAAGTTGACAACAACCCTAATGGTTTAGGGCTTCTTGATTCTTCTTTGTTTACTAAAACTGGAAGTTCCTTGCTTACAACAGCCTTGGTTTATGATGATGATGATGCAATGGTTGTGGGAAATCATATGCGTTTTATTCAAGCTCTTAAGCCTTTCTTGTATTCAGATTTTAGCAAAAAAGACTCAAGTCTAATGGTATACCATCTATAATTTTAAGTTTCACGAACCAAAGAGGGATTTCACAAGGAACAAAGAAGATATGCCCGGTATCTCATTCAAGAGGCAAGGTTACTTTTGTTGAATCTTTTATATGCCCTTAGATCCCTTTTACCATATGCAGTGCCATCAGAAGGAACTTTCTCAGATGTTATTCTTTAGAAGTAATTGCTGAAAGCCGCATTTATCTATCATCGTGCCAAAGCTATCATTTCCTAACCCGGATTTAAACCAGTTTCCGCAACCAAGTATATCAAGGGAATGTTGAATTAAGGTTCTTCTTCTCTTCCCAAAATTCCTTACACTTACAAGCTTTTTGTGATAGCATTTAGGGCACTTGATCTGATTCTCACAAGGTCAGTTAATGCAGGATGTGGGTCAACTCCTATATCCTAGGCTTCTAAAAGGCAATATGTCGTAGCAAGGAGTTTTCTATCAAGTCTTGTAGATGTATTTTATGATGTTCAATGATTTCTCGCTCTCTTGAATGATTTGCATGTCCATTTCCACCTGTTGATATTGAATTATGTGATGGTACACCTGCCATATCCATTCCTTCCGATGATGTTGTAATTACAAAACCAAATACATCAAACTTGACTTTCATCGTGTATGAGACGAGGTTCAAAAAGGTGGGACCTTTCCTTGTTATCTTCAAAGTAAAGAACAACATGTAGATCCTTTCCACCAAGGCTCTCGGACAAAGTTTGCATTGGTACTCTGTAGACTGTAGTCATTACCAAGTTTGGAATCATTAACCCACTTGAGAGCGGAAGTATGTGCCCATAAGACATTTTTATTTTGCATTTACAAAGCTCTAAAGGTGTTTTTATGAAGCCAAGGCTACTCTTCTCTAGATTTTGTGTTAGTTCTGAAATGTTAGTACTAGTGTTGGGGCCCGCTCTTAGTTAGCTCCTACGTAAAGTTAGCTCTGTGTGTTTGTTTTCATTTTTCCCTTACACGGTTTTCGCATCAATTGCTCTTGCTGAATTTCGTAGAGCTCATAAGTTTCGAACCATAGAATCAACATGTTGCAAGCCTTCTCTACCCCACCCCCATAAAAAAGACGAGCTTGATGCATTGAGTCAAATTAATTATAGTTAACCTTTTTGACAAAGGATGTTACACTTACGAATGGATAAGTAACTAAAAACTGTACCCTTGTTCATTCAAAGTAGTATTCAAACTAAAGAAACTGTACCCAGAAACAGCAATGCCATATCTTAATGACATTTTATCTTTACAATTCATGAGCCCATGAGTACCAATATTGGTGTTAGAAGACAGAAAAAAAAGCGTCTACCTTGCTCGGTAGGGAGGAAAGGCTACTCATTGTTGGATTTACGGTTTAGGGCTCCAATTAATTCAGTTCTTAAACCCTAATCCCCTGAACTAAATGATTGATTACAGTTTTCATCTCTAAGAACATGTATATATAGACAGTAAAAGAGAGAATTGGAATATCATAGAACCCAGTATTACTCTCACATTTTAATCAAACATTGTTCATGCAAAAGAAAATCTCGAATAAAAATGAATTTCACCTGTTTAATGAGGCTATGAATCTCATTAGGAGCCATGAGATCAGAGAATTCTAAGTCCACAACGATGTTCTGCCCGTGTTTCTTCGCTTCCGAAAGTCTAAGAGCTTTGCTCTCTCTCTCTTCCGTCCTCTGATCCATTCGCTCTTTCCTCATCCCTTTTCTCGATTCTATCATTTTCAATCTCTCTTCTTGTGGCAGACTTGAGAGCTTTTCTTCCCATTCTTTC